TAGCCATCTATTTACTTATTTTATTAATTTGTATATATATTTTTATTTTTGCTAGCTGTTGGTATATTGATTTTACTTAAATATCTTGTTGGCTATATCTTTTTTCAAACACATAAGCTAGCTCTGCACAGCAATTTAAGCCAGTTTACATGCAATCTAGACAATCTGTGTAGCGTATATCTGGAGCTTGCTGAGAAGTTAAATGAAGGTTTTTTTTTCTGTGCTTGTCTTTGTCAGGTATGCTTTGTTTTGTATGCAGTCGTTTTTAATTTCATTATGTTATAATGTTATACTCCCTTTGGTACGATATCCTGTGAGAGAGGATCTGGAGCGGTCTGGTAAGTTACATGGAGGGTTTTGTCGATGCTTTTCTTCAGTTCACAAAGGGACAGCCTTGTGAATTGGTGCCTGCTGCCAGCATATGGATTCAGCATATGGCAGTAGCTAAGGGACTCCTAAAGGAACATTTTGGAAACCTTCACTAAATAGCTATGCTTACATGGAAAGTGTTTTGACATTGCAAACAATAACGTCAGAGGATGTTACAGCACTCAAAGCCTACTTGTGGTCTGTGTGTGGCTGCTACAATGCAATGGAGGAGCTGCAGTACATACTGGATATGGCAACACACATGAGAACCATTGTCTCAAAGATGCCATATAAATTGCAGGAGTAATGAAGAACCACGGCTTATAACATCACGGAGCACACCAGCTACAGAGCTTCGTTGATTTTGTCACATTCATTGAGTGCCATGTCAAAATTCTGTCAGACCCCTTCAGTTCTGGGTTGGGCCGTTAATGGTCAGATTACTGGATGCAGAGCTTCCCTCTGCATGAAGCAGGAAGATCGGGATATCCACAAGCTTAAAGGAAGGATGCAATGTTCCTCAAAAACAAGCATTTGAACCAAAGATCTTATGGCTGTAAAAATATTTTTGAGTTTTGGCAATTTGGTCTATTGCAACATTTGACTCATTCTACAATTCACTTAGCAGACGCTTTTATCCAAAGCGACGTACATCAGAGAGTTAGTACAAGACAAGCAAGGATCTAGAAAAAAGGAATCAATGTCAATAAGAGCAAACGATCAGCTTTGAGTCTGATTGGACACACAGGTGCTGACAGGAATTGCACAGAGGCAAAGCACAACATTGACGGCAATTCTCTAATCAGTATAGTATAGAAATCAGTATAGGAACCATCTTAAAAGTATCAAACAAATCAAACAAAACCATCGTCATTACCATTATCATCATCAATAATATCGAGACTGTCGTCATCATCGTCATTAAGGTCGTAGGTATTCATAAAAGAGCTGCTTTTTCTTAAAGATGCAGAGGAACTCTGCAGATCGAATGGAGTTTGGTAGTTCGTTCCACCACCGGGGGGCGACAGAGGAGAAGAGTCTAGTTAGAGACTTAGGGCCCTGTTGTGAAGGTTGGCTCATTGTCTCTGTTGTTTGATTTGTTGTGTCTTCCTGGTATGAACAATGAGGGGCTGGTAGAGCCAAACTAGAGGTTTCTTATGGTGGTGCCATGTTATTGTAGTGTTTTGTATTGACTGTGGGTGTCACTGTAAGATTACAGCTCAGGTATAGATTTTAGGAGGTCACTGTCTAGGTCAGGTGTGTCATTCCAGAAGGACAAAAGGTTTTTGACTGCTTAAGCGTAAGGTTTTCCCTCATTGTAAGGTAGAATTTAGTTTGTTTCGAGTTTTATTAACTTTGTTGGGCATTTGGATTAATAAAAAAGTGTTTTAAGGAGGTGGGGGCTGACAGTGGAGGTCTGCAGCTAGACAGACCTGGGCTTTAACTGCAATCTGGTCTGGCAGCCAAACATTTGTATTTGTCTTTTCTCTGTCAGTGCTATTGTCTTATTTGCTCACATCAAGAATTCAAAGGAAAAAACAATGATTGTGAATGTATTGATTGTAAGAATGGATGATTGTATGCAGTATATGAATATTTAGTATACTCTGAACACATCATCTTCTGTTTCCTCATATAGTACTGAATACAGGAGTAATACTCAACAATGAATGATGATGAACTTTAATTGTCTTGTTTTATTTCTATTCAGGTTTCAAATAAATTAGCATAACCTTTAAAGATGTAACTCAAGAATCCGGTTTACACATATATATGTGTATACGTCAATAAAAAGAAAATTGCTTAAGAAAAGTCCCTGCAGTAATTAATTTGCCACTAGGTAGCAGCATTGTATTATTCCATCCACACAAACTGTTCTGTTGCTTTGGGATTTTTATTAATTTGGTCAAACGACCCCTTTAAACTATCATAAGGCTATATAAATCGTATGAAAATCGTATATAAATATAAATAAATTTTTATTTTATTATGACAATTTGTTTTATGTGACTTAAAGAAATTATTGATGAAAATAAAGATCATTATTCCTTTTTGTCAGTGTCTACAAGGAGTAACCATATTTCCCCATCTCAAAGATGATTAGCTCTTCATCCTAAAGGCTGCATCGTTCCTCATGACTGCTGAAGCCGGTGGGACTGGAGGCATTTTAACCTCTTCTGACTGCTTCACGTGTTGATCTCACCTGAGGTCACATGCGAGGCCACGCAGCAGTCATGTGAGAGTCATTGGAGTCGCATGAATCAAAGTGTGAAACTGTCACAGAGTCGCTGTCAGGAAAGGAACGGTGATAAGCTGTAAAAAGATGTCACTTACCTCTTTATGCAACCTTTATTAGCCATCACATCATCATATGTGCACACTGCTGTTATGAAGAGGGGGATCACTTATCCTTAAAGAAAAATAATAGCCTCTTATGTGTAAATGCAGTTAGGGTTAATGGTTACTCTATTGAATCGAGGTAATACAAAGTAATAAACTGCTCAATGGGCTTTCTTGACCAAAAAAGCAGCTTTTTCTTCTCTTGACGATTCCGCTATCGATACATTTTCTTCATTACATCAAAGGTTGAATATTACTGGAAGAAAAAAAACAACTTCCTTTTGACCACCATAGGACAAGAAAGGATTACTCCAGCAAGAATTGTAATCAACCACTGTACACTCTGGCTGGAATATGACACTCTCCAAGTAAGCAGAAATACTTAAAAATCATATTTTGGGATGACCCTACAACCTGTCTTCTAATGTTTACCCATTACAAGTTAAAAGTCTGGCAATTTATTTTTATTTAGTGTTCTGAGCAAAATGGCCTTCAAAGTGCACTCGGCTTTTCTGCAGAAACAAAATCTGTCAGTGATTGACATATATTGACTAATAAAGTTAAAGTTGAAGATATTTTATCTCATTAGTCTTCAGCTTCGATTGGAAAATCATCCATCTTCGATGAACCCAATAGCCACTGATAATACAGCAAAGGGTACAGATAGTTTCTTAATTTCTTAAGGTCAGTTAGTTTAGATACATTGGGTTTAATGCACTAAACCTTCTACATAATCCATTTAATTCTGAATTATTACACCTGCCTGTTAACTCAAGTATACAGCTGCAGTGGACAATGGTGTTTTGTAACATGACAAATTGTAGGCAGTATAGTGAAAGATATACTAACAGTGACCAACACTGATTATGATCCAAGGTTCAAAGATGAGATAGGGCCTTTTGATACAGCAACAATCAGTGGGTTTCTGTTCATTTTCTATCAGGGGCGGCAGCTGAAACACCTAACTTTAACCTTTTACCCCAACTTCCAGTAAAAACTGTATCTGTAGCCATTACTTTGAATACAATAGATGTCAGATGAAGCATCACTGGAATAACACATTTAACTTCTCAGCTCTCTGTTACTGTTGGAACTGAGAGGTGGGTTGGGGGGTAGCTTACCTTTCCAAAAGCAAATGGGATATTTAACGACTGAATACAATTAGTAACAGAGAGGGGGTCCAAAAGCTGCTCCCTTGTATTACTTAATAGAAAAAACAATTAGTAGACTTAGAAAAGCATTGATACTTGCCGCTAAATTAAGTGATAATAAAGTAAAGTGGCTTTTTTAAAATTATTCTTCAAGCCACACAGATTTACAATCTGCCCTCCAATCAACCGTTTCCCTGGAAACCTGTTTAAAATCTTTTTTTTTTTTGTCTTCATTAATTGCAGCTTAATGGCTTCTTATTTTTTGTTCCAAGACGAGGACAGTTTTATTCTTCAATAGAAGATGATATATAACTCCCAGTACCTGCAGGGTTTTTAATTTTTTAAGTGAAGTCAGTTTTAGAAATGTAGTTTGAGGGGAAACCGTTTTGATATAAAGGGATTAAAGACATTTCTTATGAAAAAAGTATTTGCTTTTGATGTAAAATTGAATGTGTACTGCTATTATCCCTATTGCCAATCGCTCTGAGAAGGAAAAACTCCCTTTTTCATTTCCACAGTAAGTCCAGATCCTGTGACGAGTCACAAGTGGATGTCTCTTCATTTCTAAGTAGTCACAAGCTTACATGGTTGAGGGAGCCTGCACAGAAATACATTATGCTACACTCAAGTATGTAAGCGCTCAGCTTTGTTTGAAAGCATTCAATCAAAATTAAATCATCTGGAGAGGATTTGGATTTACTTGTTGTAAAAATGCGTGGATTATCAAGAATTAGCCTTTAATGATCGCAATCCTGTATCGGGCCGAATCCTACAGAAAACCCAGCTTGTCTTAAAAATAGAAATAGACACATGTGAACACATAAAGCTCAGAAAAGTAAGCCTGTTAATACTTAGTAAAAACTCAAGCTGTATGAACTCCAAATCTCCCTAAGATTTTAAGACCAAATCTCGGCATTGAATCAGTTTGGAAGAAAAGAAAACAACCCCACCATGCAGTCAATACATTTACGTATGTCTTTATTTCAGTGAATAAAATATTTCTCTACACAAAACAATGTACAATATAACAATAATATAATCACATAGTATATACATAATGAAAAATAAACATATATGTGACCTTAATATTTATATATATATATATATATATAAGTTATTACAAGACAATAATCAGTTTGACTTTACAAACACATCTGAGGTAAAGAAATTGCATTAAGGTTAGAGGACAGCTGCCTTGGTCCACCATTCAAATTTATACATAACAACTGGTATTATGGTCAGTCATAACAGTCATAATAGTTTTTTAAATAAGTTTGAGGTATTCATGGCATGAATTGTATATACATTACATGTATAATAATTTCTGTGTTTGTTTTTTTTCTATTTACAGAGCAGCAATACTAGGAGTCACTGGATCGTCAGCGCCATGGCAACAGAGGTATCATTTTTCTGTCACTAGAAGAAGAAGTGAATATGGATCCTGAGAGAGGAGGAAAAGAAGAAATAGTTCATTAGTGTGAATGCAAATGTATTGAACATGTAATGCCTAATTTAACTACATTTTCCAAGTAAAAAGATACTTAAATGCATTATTAACCTTTTTTTTTACTAGGGATATCGAAATTAAAACACAACTATGATGATTTGATGTAGCAAAGGATCATGGGAGCTGTGTCTAATGGTAAACCACCATTAAAAATCTTAAATGGTTCTGAGGATGGCTTTCTAATTGATATGTTAATAATAGGTTTTAAACTTAGGAATGTTTTCAGTGTAAAAAGAATAATATGGGTTTAAATGGGGAACTGATGCAGCTGAATTTCTCTTTTGTTGGTTACGACAGAAACAATTAACAAACAAGACATTTCTATATTTAAGCTAGGCTAACCTGCTAGCCGTAGCTTCATCTGCAACTAACACATAAGAAGTTAAATAGTATTTTAATCGCACTCTTAGCAAGACATAGATTTCCACAGATTTCAAGCTTTAAAAAAGTGAAAATGGAAATGCCAGATCTCTTCTCACCTCATCTCTTGATGAAGGCAACAGGCAGCTCTCTGTTGGGAACCAAAAGTCCTGAATGGATCACGTCGAGGGGCTCATTATCTGTCGCCACGATCTCATAGTCTCTGACCAACTGTAGGAGAGCAGAGCAGGATTATCATTCACTTAAAACTTTAAGACAACGAAAATGAGTGATGGCAGTGATAACAAAATCCATGGTTTACCTACTCTCACATATACAGCTTTAAATTGACCACTCATCCTACAGAATTCAACTATAAACTGAACTGTTCTGTGTCTGATCTTACCCAGCACATGGCCAACTGCAGCTGCAGCTCTGCCAGCCGCCGGCCGATGCACATCCTCTTTCCGATGCCGAAGGGAACGTGGGCAAAGGGGTTGATGGTGAAGTTCTCCCGCAGCCAACGCTCAGGTTTGAACTGCTTTCCTTCATCAAAGTACTCCTCGTTTGAGCCCAGTGCATGGCTGTTTATCATCAGAACTGTCTGTAAAAGGAGAACAAATAGTTTAAATAACAGGCTTTCACGTTTATATAAATATAAGTCTTTACTGTCCTTTTTAAAAAAGGTATTGGTTCCCATTGGATGCACTAAGCTTCAAATAAATACAAGTAAATTATACATCAAATTATTCCTAGCATAGGTTCAGATGCATCCATATAAGCAAACTAATACGCTTAGTACATGAACAAAAAAGTCAAAAGTATCTGAATTCACAGAAATTAATTCAATAATATGTTTGATTTCTTGAGAGTCCAGTTAGGACTCTGTGTTGTTGGCAGAATTGCACACACTATTAACAGTTGGCTCCATTTGGACTTTGTACAGTATGTGAGCTGGTTTTTGTAACACACTTATTTCAGACATAAGTCAAATGTAAATTAATACAGGAATGCAATCAGCTCATGTCAGGTGTATGGCAATTAGAAATAAGCCACTTACTCCTTTGGGAATGGCATAATCTCCCAACACAGTGTCTTTGTCCAGGGTCCTGCTGGTGAATGGGACTGATGGTGATAACCTGTAAGAGATTGAAAAGAGCAAAGTATGGGAATATGCTCTCAGTGAAGCTATAGTGTAGCATGACACACATGTTTAAGCTCTTTAACTGTTTTTCCCAGTCTAAATGAGGCAGATATAATCTCCCGTCAGAGGCCATTTACATTCCCTGCGTGATGTGGTTATAGCACATGCCTTAAATAACATGACAACTTGTGACTGCATGAGTGGATGTGGGAAAGTGGACCATATAAGGTTAAGGAAGTGATCCGAACGTGACCAGACTGCACATTTTAAGCTGGGACCACTGGTTGTTATTGGTTATTCCCCTTTATCTCATGAAGCTTGTTTTAAATCAAGTCATGTGTGTGGCCCCTCAAACTGGGTGAAATCATTATGCAGTTAGCGGTTTTGATTTGAAACTAGGGATGGATTAGAAAAATCTTCTTTGTGGGTAAATGTTTGATGTATTAATTCATTTAAAGCTGCAAACTCTTTTTTTTTACTAAGATGCATAAAGTCACTGCAGTCCAGTGTCTGGTACCAAAGCAGTTTACGTCTGTAACGCTCATTTCTCAATTACTGCAACTGTGCCAGGTTGAAAATGTTAACGACTCGCCTTTATCAAGGCTTTAGCACAATTAGCCATGTAGCACAGCTACGCTGTGCTGCTAGCTGTCTGCTATCATTCATTTTTCAGCTACGTTCACTGAGGTGTAAGTCTCTAGATTTTTTAAAAATGAAAATATTTTTGCATTGTATGGTTAATTGTGACAACAGACTGTAGAAAATGTTGTGCAAGTTTTTTGTTCTGTGAATAAATTCTAGTATTAATATGTGACTAGCAGGTTGCTGCTCACTGTATCTGGCTCCTTAGCTCTTTCAGGTTCTCTGTAATGTGAAACTTAAGGCTTCAGTCTATTCTGCAGTCTTGGTATTTCCCACTTATTATATCATATGATGTAAGAGTAGTAGCAGCCTCACTGTAGCTGTTTTATATTCCATGACCTTGTTGTACTTTACCTCATAGACTCCTTGAGGCAGGCTTTGAGGTAGGGCATGCTCTTGATGTGCTCCCCACATGGGTCCTGGTCTTGAGGGACCACCTCTCTAATCTCCTCCAGCAACTTCCTCTGGGCACCGGGGTTACGTGACAGGTTGAAAATAGCCCACAGCATACTGTTGGCAGTCTGAGAAACATAAACACAGCCAGGGAGAGGGAGAGAGAAAGGGAGAGAAAAGAGGAAAGGAGTCAGAGAGTCAGAGAGAAGTGCATTCCTCAGTGGGGTCCTGAAAGGAGCTGAGGAATGTTTGGGGTTCCTTAAAGGCTCCTCAGTTACATCCACACCACATTCATTTTTCTGCTTTGAAGCACTGTAACTGTAGCACCTGTTTGTACAAGAGGCCAAACTGTTTTTTTTTCTTTCCCTTCTTTGAGGAAAATAGGTGAAAGCTTAAACATTAAAAACATTTACTGTTTATGGCCACGTGTTGGCGCTCTGCAGCTATGTGATAATAGAACAAAATAATAAATCGTGATTCATCAGTAATAGCTTGACATATCGTTTCTACTAAGAGCTTTCTTAGGGACACTTAGATAACAATATTGATACTACTTTTACACAGTGTCAGTCTGTCAAATTTTAGGCTACAACTAGCAGCCAGTTAGCCTAGCTTAGCATAAACTCTGGAGGTAACAACTAGCCTGGTTCCTTCAGAGCGTGATCCTAGTTTATTAAAATGATGTATTTCATTGAAAAGAATGATGTTGTGTCTTCACTGAGAGATTTCTTAACCTTTTTGAATGGACTTCCATCAGGCCTGTATTGATCTTCTCATTTGACTCTTGGCAAGAAAGCTATTCAGCAGCTTGTCATGCGAAGACAAAATGTAGGTTTGTAGTGCAACATACCGTCTCAACTCCTCCAATCTGTAGCTCTGTGATGGCTGCATACAGCTCCTTCTTCGAGAGGCAGCTGTTGTGTAAGATGTCACCGATCAAGTCATCAGGAGCTCTGATGGCATTTCTCTTCATCTTCTTGTCAATGTAGACTTTGGCTGAGTAAACAAGAAGCAGAAGATGTGTAAACATGCAAACAGAATAAGATCTATGTCACTTAAATGTGTCATTTAACTCTCTATATGATGTATTCAGAGTTTTCCACCTTTTGGGATTAATTCTTTGGTCCATGCCCTGTAGGATTTATGCATTTGATTGTATTGCGTACTAGTTACATAATATGTTACAGTAAGTGTCTATTTATAAATCTGTAGGTCTGATGTCTTATGTCCTTACATGACATCCATATGATATAGATGGTGTGAGACTATTTCTGTATGGCTGCTCCAGATACACTAGTTTGACCTCCAAGGGCTGAGCATCGTGTCAATCACAAGACAAAACAAACTACACAAACTTTATCAAACTGGCAAAAGCAGTAAATATGTCCTAAAGCTATCTCACATCACCTACAAGTACTTATTTATTTCTCTCGCAGTTAGCTCCAAAATCTTGTGACAATGCGTGTCTGAGAGTGTTTTTGACTAAGAAGTCGTAACTTTCAAATAAACAGTTCAACCAGATCATCTTCTCCCTCCCTCCAACCTCCAACCTACTTCAAATATTTGGCAGAGTTCTCCCTCTTAGGTCATGCGGTTTACTACGACTCTTCTCGCTGTTTACCCCGAGTGCCAAGTACACACACACACACACACACACACACACACACACACACACACACACACACACACACACACACACACACACACACAAACCCCAGTGAGGCACCCGGTTCAAACCCACCCTCTCTCTTATCATCTCTTTCTACCTTCTGACGGGAACTGTTTTGTACATCATGTAGCGGTGGAGACACACTGAACTAGAACTTAGGGAACTGGGAGTGATTTTTGGTGTAATCATGAGGTGAAGAGGAGAATAATGTGTGTGTGTTTGTACCTGTGCTGAAAATGCGGTCCCAGGCTTCGGTGTGGTCCTGCCACGTTTTGGTTTTGAGGCTCTTGTGTAGCTCTACCGGTGTGACCATCATCATGCCGAAGGTGCTCATCATCTGCAGAAGACGACAAAGAGACAAAAAAAATCTTATCGTCAGCATCTCTCTTTTAAAATCTTTGATGCAATCCTTCTCAAGGTTTTTGTTCTTGCACCCGCTGCCCTGACAGACCTTTGAGAGCGCTCACTTATCTTGTCCTGAGTGTGTGTGTGTGTGTGTGTGTGTGTGTGTGTGTGTGTGTGTGTGTGTGTGTGTGTGTGTGTGTGTGTGTGTGTGTGTGTGTGTGATACTGGTTTGGCCCAGTAAATCCCAGTAAATACAGTGAGAGCGTCAGTGTGACACTGATAAACCTGATGAACTACGAACACTTTCTGCAGTTTCAGTCAGTCTTAAAGAATGTCCTCTCCAACAGTTAACACACACACACACACACACGAGGCTGATATGAGCAGAACAACAGCGGGTACTCACTGTTTTCACGGCTGTGATGAAGTTCATGGCTTCCTCATTGACTTTCTCCTGCAGCAGACCGAATCTTTTGTCGTAGAGGACAAGGCAAATAGCTGGACGACAAAGAAAGGCAAAGAAATTAGATTCTGAGTCTGAGTTTGATACTTACAGGTTCAGAAAGACTGACGTCTTTTTTATCTGATAAGCCATATCATAAAACTGGCACATTTTTTAAATTGGATGTCACTTGAAAACATGGCATTTGCATAAAAAAAATTGATATTTGTATGTTTAAGATACACTTTATTGATTTTGATAAAAACACAAAAATAGAGCTGAAATGATTGGTCCTCTATTAATGATTTAATCAGCATGAAATAAATTTACAATTTTCCCCACATGTTTAAACAAAGATGCCAAACATTACCATTTATTTCGAAACTGTACATTTGTAAAACAACCTTCAGATTGAGACATTAATCGGCAGTAGGATAATCATGAGAGCAATCTTAACTCGCAGTTTTTAAAGGATTAAAAGCACAAAACGTCTGAACTTACTCTCAAACGACCATTTATTCAGTTCGAAGTACAGGTCCTCAATCTTTCCACCCACGTTCGTTTGTCCAATTCTGCCAACGAAGTCTAGCAACACCTGCATTCACAGACAAACGCCATCAGTCACCAATAACCAAAAATAAAAGGTCTGAAATCTCAAGAATCTCTACCATACCTGATTTATCTTGCGATCGAGCTTCACGACCTCTGTGGGCTTCATGAGCTTCTGCTGAAAAGCGCTCCTCACTCTCTGCCAGTCTTCCCCCTCCCTGCAAAGCAACAGTGTGGATTCAGAGCGCGTTCACAGGAACCATTGTGCCTCTCTTTTAGCTGCGTCCAGCTGAGTTATGGACATTTGCCATAAGGATGAAGGAAAACGTGAAAAGTGTGCTTACAGAATAAGGAGTCCGTACGCCTCGTCCCTCATGTCTCTGTATGCTGTCCAGGGTTTGATCTCCAGCCTCTGAGGGTAGTTCCCCTCTTTCCTGTAGAGCGCCTCCAGCAAGCAAGGTGCGCCAATGTGCACCGACTCAAAGGAGCCCAGCTTCAAACGGAAAATCTTACCGAATTTCTTATGATAATCAACCTAGAACAATAAATAAAATACTGATTAATATCGATAAGAAATCTAAGATGAAACACATTTAAACCACTTTGTAAGTTTGGTTGCGAAATTTACTGATAAAAACAATCTGTCTGTATGCAGAAAAAAAAAAAACAGGCAACTAAAGAAAATGTTGGTTATGTTACTGTACCAGAGCCTCGTGTTGTCTCGTCAGACCTCCTTTCCTCAGAAGTTCAACCAGACTGCCCACCAGGGGCCAGTTAGTGGGTCCTGGGATCGCGTCCAGGCTGTGCGCTCTGGAGGCAGCGTGCGGGCAGCACGCAGCTTCCACAGCATCCTTCTCCTCCAGGACGCACACTGAGGATGTGGGTTTGAAGTGCTGCAGCCCCACGGACTTCTTTTTCAGCAGCTCAACGATCTGAGGAACCTTTTGGATCTGCGCCCTCATCCTCAAATATGTAGAGTTGTTTTGAAAATAATGCGGAGTAATCTTGTGTTTCGCGGCAGCTCTTTCTTATTATCTTGGGAGTTTCTCGTTTCTTAGAAGTGTCACACCTTCACGCCAATATATATACCCCACGAGTGTTTATTCCTGCCTTCACCGAACCAATCAGGGGCTGGGCCTGCATGGTGTGGCCGTCGAGCCTACTATTCATTTATGGATCCACGTTGGGAGGATCGTATGACCCCAGAAAGACAGAGGAAGTGCCCTCGCCCCCCTCCGCTTTATAAATAAACACGCAGGCCACATTGGAGGTGACGCGGTTCGCTTGAACTGTGTTTCAGAGTGACCCGCGAAGGGAAGAACCGAAACTTTGGCAGAGCAAATACTACTGCCACACTTCTGCACCGTGGGCAAATATTTGACCGGTTGCAGGTTGTGTGTTTGCTTTGATTGTGTTTTGGAGTGTGTGTTCTTTGTAGAAGGGTGAAGGGGGGTAATCAGTGCAATTCTCTCTTCTGTCGATATTTGTTATAATTGAGCACAATTTCAATCCAAGAAAAAACTTTCTCAAATGAGTTTGAGTTTGGCAGATTGCTTTTAGGAAATATGAAATGTCCACCTAAACATGGTTATCCTCGGAATAATGAAATTCAATTCCAGATCTTTCCATGTGGTCTCTAATGACCCTAATGTCCAAATCTACTTCGGTTTTTACCAGTTTTTATTATTTGCATGAAACAAAAGCTGACAGGTAATGACTATCCGAAAAGCTGGATTCGGTTCCATATAATCATTTTTAATAATCGGATATTGTCTTTAAATGGGTTGGTGGGTTTACCTGTGATTTAGCTCTCTCCCTGCACGTTTGCACATATATACACTCACACACACATACACATACAGACATACCCCCCCAGCTGTCATGATTTAAATAAATTTGCCATCAGATTGGTCCCCTTGTTGTTACATTCTAAAAATATTTTAATTCACAGACAACTTATGATGGTTTCTCCATATTGAAGACTGAGCAAAAGACCTCCCCCCCCCCCCCCCCCCCCCCACACACACACACACTCAAAAGAAAGAATGTGTAGAAAAAACCACCATGCATCATCATATATGGATTCATTTACTCTCTCTCTCTATCAGACAACTTTGGAAATTTGTACATTTTGTCTATTTGAGGAAGCTGAGATCCTTCAACGTGTGCAGCAAGACGTTGGAGATCTTCTATCAGTCTGTTGTGGCCAGTGCACTGTTCTCTGCTGTGGTCTGCTGGGGGAGCAGCATTCGTGCTGGTGACACTAAGAGACTGGACAAACTCATCAAGAAGGCCTGCTCTGTGATAGGCTGCAAGCTGGACTCTTTTGTAGTGGTGACAGAGAGGAGGACTCTTAACAAACTGTTATCCATTATGAATAATCCTGATCACCCTCTGATCACCCTACTGGACAAACAGCGGAGCAGCTTCTCCAACAGACTGATCCAACTCCGCTGTCACAAGGACAGATACAGGAAATCTTTCTTACCGAAGGCCATAACTCTGCACAACAGCTCACCTCATGCGAGCAGAGAACTATTATCATGATAATATCTGTCTCTCCTTACTGTAATCTGTTTGCACATGTTAAATTTACAAATTATCCCTGCACTCATATTCACTTCATTTGGCTGTCTACTCACCGTTATATGAATAGTTTCTGCTTATAATATGTCTACACTCATGCACTTTAACTTATGTCAATACTGTCCATTTACTGTTTTTTTCTGTTTTTGCACATTTACATTTAATCTTTCATATTTAATTTATAATCATCTACGACTCTGTTTTTGCACATGTACATTCAATCTTCCATATTTAATCTTCCTATTTAAGACTAGTAATGCTTAGTTAAATCCTGGTTGTATATATTCACATTCTTATTTTTGATATCTTTTAGTACTTATTCACTTTGTAGTTAATATTATATTGTCTTTAGATTTGCTAATATTGTGTTTTTTACTCATATTGTGTGTTTGGATAACCTGCTGCTGTAACGCCACAATTTCCCAGTTTGGGATCAATAAAGTAATTCTATTCTATTCTATTCTATTCTATTTCTATTCTATTTATTCTTTATTTTATAAACCATCTTGAATATCTCACTTTTTAGGATTTGTGGAAATACTTGCTTAGAGGAAGAGATGAACGCCTCTCTCATAAAGCCAGAAGAAAGTCTGATACAGGTGCAAGCAAAATCTCTGGCTAAGTCTAATCATGTCAATATCAAAATAATTAGTAAACATCTCTTTTATATATGCTAAATTTTACAGAAGCAAAAAAAAGAAAGTTGCAGTTTGAAGCTGTTTGCGAGTCGATTTCTGGTCCAGGCACCGTGACTTCCTCCATCAGTTTTTGTACAGATTAAGCAAACAAGATTTAAAGTATCGATTTATTTTCTTCGTGTACAGTGATGGCCAATCTGACCTGATCTGCTGCTCCTGACAGGTTGGATGATTTTTTGGCATGCTTGATATTTTGGTCGTACCGCTGCATACACTCGCACAGTGAGAGCAGAGCCACATGCTGTTTCCCTGACTTCAGGGCTTTTTTTTCTGGATTGCAAATAACTGAAAGCATTTAATAGCACCAAGGCAACAGCAGGAGGGTCTGTTTGATGTGTATTCCCCCTCCTATCGCAAAAGATATGAACAGAGAAATTTTGTATAATACCGAGTAAGGTCTTTTGCTTCCTTTTTGTGAAGTGTCTTGAGATAACATTTGTTTTGAATTGCTGCTATACAAAGAAAGATTGATTGAGTTTGATAGCTAGCTTGTGTTTGTTGGTGATGCAGAGTGTTTCAGCATGTCCGAGAGCGTTATTGACGTTTGTATTTGAGCCGTGCATGTAAGACAGCGTAAATACACAGAGGTCTGACAAAAAAATTAAATTGTTCTTTTTGTCTATTCACTGAAATTAAAAGTATTACTTAGGCATTTATAAGGAGCCGATCCCAGTGTAATACCTCTTTAAAAGTACTTTATTGAAAATCAAGGAAGGTTATGATGTAGAGAGAGAAGCTTGATTCAGTGTAAACAGCTAAAGGTTAGAGGTTCAGGTTGTTGAGCAAGTCTTTACCTGAGGACTTCAACCCCTTGGTGTCCTGCTGCGTACTGCCATATTGAACACGAGTTAACACTGGCAGTGTCACTGACAGCTGGCACTACGCACAGTGCAAGTCATAGAGAAAACATGTTTTCTTGTGATGTTCTCTGTGGGCAAATAGTACCACGCAACCTCTTCTCCTGACCTCGTGTCGAATATGTGACTGCAGAGTTGTGTACCGTAATAACTGTGTTACGGAGTATGATTGTGCTTCACTCACTATTGCTGCAGTTTGATATGAAATTACACATAAAAGAGACTCAAATTAATACACGACTGTTGTATGTATGTATGTGTAATGTATGACTAATACATTTAAATTAAGTGTTAAAGGCAGCTCATAAAAAAAAAACATTTTGGAATTTGAAGAGACTTACATTTATCATACCAGAACTTTTATAACAGTGTTTTTTTTTCTTTCTTTTTTTCATTTGGGGAGTTTATTAAAAAATGTCAACAACAAATGAAGTCATTAAGGGAACAACGGAACATAGTCACCCTCATAAAATACATGAATAGTCTCATCTACACTGCAGACATGATGTGTCACCATAACTCCAAAAAAACTGTAGTAAATAAATAGTAACTTAGTTTCCAAAATAAGTGGGATTATCAGGTTTTTATTGTGCTATTCAAACATTAAAAGACAGAAAACACAATACATTTTTCTAAATGTAGATATTGAGTGCTAAAACTAATATATGAAGAGAGTGAATCAAAGCGTCCTGAATTGTCTGAACACTTCATTTTTTTTAACCACTGCACCCTCAGCTCTCGTCTCCTCACCTCCTCTTTAAGATATCTCTTTGATCACACATGCTACTCATTTCTTGTGTGTCTTACACTTAAGTCAGTGGGGGCTCTGTATTTGAGACATCAGCAGGCAGATTGATAAATGATGAACAGAGATAGTGTGTGTGTGTGTGTGGGGGGGGGGGGGGTAGTGGAGTCATCAGCAAACAGGGCAGGCAAACCTGATGACTCAAACTCCCGTCCAAATTGACTGACAGGTCAGCGAGTTCGGTGATTGGGTTTGGAGCCGAGGTTATTCTCTTCTGTGAGCGGGGCTGCAGGCACATGCGAAGGCACAAAGATGTACATTCATACATGAAAGCGAGCACTGAGTGAGACCACCGTGCTTACCCTGGAAAAATAATGCAGAGGCCATGTAGGAGGAGATTAGTCTGGGTCCATACATAGAAGAGATGGAAATGCTTCGTACAGTCACAGCAGCCAGAGCAGCCATGTAACATCTCTGACCTAGAATGTGAGGTGCCCCCATCCTCAAAGCCCACCCTTACACTAAGAATGAAAATATTTACAACAGAAAGGAGTGAGGTAATAAAGGGAGCACCCCCACTTCCACCACCTTCTGGCAGTGTGTTTTTGGCCCTACACCACAGCATCTCTCTGTGAAGCAGCGAGGCTCTCACTGAGTTGACGGAGACGTTCCTAAACAGTCTTGACAGTGAAAGCAAAAGAAATAAGGTCTCGCCATTTAACAACTTTTTTTTGTCATTCATGGTCCTTACCGATTCGTTGCACACGTTTCTTTGTGGCCTTGATTAAAATTCTTGACACAGAGCCAATGTTGATATCATGAAACATAAAGATATGTGACGCCAAACAAACACAAGGGTTTTATTTTTTGAATGGCTCTCACAATAGTCTATACATTATTGACTGAGGCCAGAAAGTAGGTCATTCCTAGTGATAGATATGATGGGGAAGGGCTCGAGCTGCAGCGCGTAAGGAAGGAGATCTCCGTGAACTTGCTGACCTCCTCACACACACTGAGGCTGCTGTTGCCTCCTGGCCGTGGCTAAGTATCTGGGTCAGGATTCCCTGGATGGTGAAGGGCCCACCTCCCTCCTCTTTGACAGCAACAGGCTGAATAAATGGAAAGCTTATGATCAAAGGAGGGCCATTT